TTAATATCTCTGGTTCCATATTTTCAGTCTTGTAAGTTTGTTTTACTTTAAATACCTCTAAATCTGGACTGAGTTCTGCATGGTGTTGACATGTATGATGATCTCACATTGTCTGCTGTTGTTGGTTCTCAGTCCAAAGAACACCCTTTAGACTGAGGTCTGGTCATTACAAATTCCTTTAATTTCTGTTTTATCAGGAAACTTCCTAATTTCACTGTCATATTTGAGAAACAGCTTTGCTGGTCATGATTCTTGGTTGTTAATTTTTTTTCTTTCAAAGTTTTGTACATGTCATCCCACTGACTTTCCGCCTGAATGATTTTCACTAAGAAATTAGAGCTTAGTCTTATTGGCTATCCTTTGTAGGTACATTTTGTTTTTCCTGAGCTGTTCTCAGGATTCTTTCCTTGTCTTTGGTTTTAGAAAGTTTGATTCTGATATGTCTTGGTGATTTTCTTTGGGATCTATCCGGTTTGGGGTTTGTTCAGCTTCTTGTATGCTTATGTTCTTCCATTTCATGATGTTACAGAAGTTTTCTTCCAATTCTTCTACAATTTACTCTGTGCTTTCTATTGGTTTTCCCTGTTCTGGAACTTTGATTACCCGTAAATTGTTGCTCTTCTTGGTCTACCACATAACTCTTAGGCTTTCTTGGGATTTTTTTCATGATCTTTTCTGATTGTTCTTCTGGCATACTAGTATTGAGAGATTTGTCTTCAAACACATGAATTCAGGCTTCCATTGTATTCAATCTATTCCTTTGCCCTTTCAATGTACTGTCCATTTCTGAAATGTTAGTATTAACCTTTTGGATTTCTAATTGCAGGTTTTGTGTTGTTTCAAAAATTTGCATTTATTTTATCTGTTAATTCTTGTAGTGTTTTTCTAAATTCTTCTAAAGTTTTTTTCTTTCTGTGTTCTCCATGCTTCCCTAGATCTTTCTTTTAGTATTTTGAAGGTACCTAAGTATCATTATTTTGAATTCTATTTCTGTTATTTCCATTACCTTTTCTTCCTCAGGAATGTTTTCTGAGTCTGCATCATGGTCATTTGTTTGAGCCATTCTGTCTTGTTTCTTTTGCTGCGTCTCAATTTACCCAGATGACCACTCAAGACTCTCAGGATCGATAAGGAAGCCTTTATGAGCTGGCCAGCGACTACAGCCTCCCTAAAAGTAGGAAAGACTGCAGCCCTGACCCAGTTTTTCAAAGAGTATTTCTACATAGGCAGTCTGACATTATCTTGTACAAACCAACGGTATGATGTATGCTTCCTGCATCATTTAATATTTTGTCTATAGTGTTGTTGTTGTTAAGTGCCGTCGAGTTGATTCCAACCCATAGCAACCCTGTTTTTCAAATCGGGTTTTCAAGGAGCATCTGGTGAGCTTGAACCACCGACCTTGCAGTTAAAATGACTTTGCAGTCTGAATGTGTTCTTGACTTTGGTTTTATAGTTCCAGGTCTTTGAACCTTTAATTATAATATCCTTTGACAATTTTTGTTCAGCTCCTTTACTTCGTCATTGCTTCCAGTCGTTTTAGCTTCTCTGGGCTGAGTAAAAGTTTCTTACACCCACTTTGGCATGTCCTTTCTTTCCTACCTGTTTACTGACCTTCTGCTTTCTTCATAGATGATGCGCTTGATGTCATCCAAGAAGTCTCCTTGTCTTTGGTCATTGGTGTCTAATGCATCAAATTTGTTCTTGAGATGGTCTCTAAATTCAGGTAGGTCATATGTGGGTTCTCATGAAGTTGTTTTCATTTTTTGCAGCTTCAGTCTGAACTTATATATAATCAGTTTATGGTCTATTCCTAAGTCGGTCCCTGGCCTTGTTTTGGATGACGACATGGAGCTTCCCCATCATTTATTCCCACAAATATAGTCAATTTGGTTTCTATGTGTATCCCACCTAGTGAGATCCACATATGTGTTGTTCAAAAAACTATTTGCAATGAATCAGTTGTTTTTGCAAAACTCTATCATGGGATCTCTAGCATTATTTCTATACCAAGATCATATTCCCCAACCACTGATCCTTCTTTGTTTTCAACTTTTGCCTTCCAGTTACAAGTACTGATCAATGTATCTTGATTTTATGTTTGATCAAATTCAGACTGAAGAATTTGGTAGAATTTTCTAAATCTCATCATCACTGGCTTTAGTGATTATTGCATAAATTTGAATAATAGTGGTCTGAACTGGTTTTCCTTGTAGGCGCATGATGATTATCCTATCCCAGACAGCATTGTGAGTTTGATAAATAGTGAAATTAATATTTATTGGACTCTGGGAAATTGGTTATATATATTTTAAAACTCTGTAGCTAGATCAGAAAGAAACTAGAAAAAGTAGATGATTTGAACTTAAACAAATTTCTTTTTTTTTTTTTTTTCTTTCTGGTTTTATATAGAGTCAATTTTGTCTACATTTTAATTTGAAAATTATTGATCCCCAAATTGGATTTATTTTCTTTTCTGTTTGATTCTCGGTAACTCTTGAAGGATTTATATAATGAGGATTAGTAAATAAGTGCTTGATTTTGTTTGGTTTGGTTATAAAGATAATATAATCACCTACATCAGGAATGGATTGATTTAATAATGGTACTAAAGTCCTTATATTTTATTACCATTTCTTCATTGCACTCTTAATGTCTTTTTCTGGTCCATTATCACATGTGCAGGCACACTGCATTTAAAGTAGTATCTCCCTTATATCTTCCTGTCTGGAACAATTCCTCTGCCTATCTTTATTTCTTATCACCCAGGCATTTTTGTAGAGTACTGATCCTTTATTTTGTAAAATGTTCCTCAATTTGCATTTGTCTGTATCTCCTCATGATTATATTACGGTTATCTACTTTTGGTAAAAAGACCTCAGAATTTCTGTGGTGCCCATGCTAGTGTATCATAATACAAGGCACATGGTGTCGCTAAGTCTCATCAGTTCTAATAGTTCACGTGCGTCTAGAAAAGTGCCGCCTTCCCAGATTTCATTAATAAAAAGTTAATGTTGTCCTTTTAGTAGTGAATATGTAATCTCAATGAGACATACTTAGAAATTATGCAAGTATTTTGTTTTCCAATGTATTTTAGCTCAATAATTTTAACATTCATTAATGATGTTGTCCCGAAAAATTATTACTGGGATTTTCACAAAATTGTCATTTTCTATTTCCATCTTCTTATCATTCCATCATGGCACCCCTTCTTCTTCATTTATCAATCCAATCCAATAATTTCTTCACATCAACATGGACTCAAGTTATATATTTAATTTTTTTATTCAGTGAGGTAGAATTCCTTATTGTCCCAGAATTGACCAATGGAACACCTTCACGTTACTTCTTGTGTCTTTGCCACATGATTCCATGTGTGTTTAAGCACTTTCTTAATTCTGGGAACAACATGATCTGTTATAGTCATCTTGTACTTTTTTTTTGCCCAGTTCTGGAATCAAGCATTCCTACAGGGAGCCCTGGTCCTTTTTATAGGAGAATGGTGGTGAGAAATAAGATGTAGGTCCTAGGTGTGCTCATTTTTACTGAGTGCCATGTTACTAGGAGTTCCAGTATGGCACTGTGGGTTAATGTGCTGGACTGCAAAGTTTGTTTGAACCACAAAGTCAGTGGTTCAAGCTCACCAACTATTCCTCATATACAGAGTCACCATGCGTAGGAACCGACTTGATGGCACTTAACAACAACACTGTTCCTAGGTCCACTCAGTGAACAGAGCTAGTCACATAAGTATGTATGTTGTTGTTGAGTGCCGTAGAGTCGATTCTGACCCATAGAGACCCTCTACAGGGTTCCTAAGACACAGCTAGAAAGCCTGAACTTCCGACCTTGCAGTTCTAACAGCTTTGCAGTCTGACGCATTAAACCACAGTGCCACACCAGGATGTATACATACACACACATTGTCCGAACCAAAGCCACTGCCATTGAGTTGATTGTAATATAGGGTTTCTAAGACATTTGTATCTATTCCTATATTCATCCATTTGTATGCACATTAAAATCTAGGAGTTCATGCTGACATATTCTATTACAATCCAACACCATAGAATTCATTCTAACCTTGCCCCCTCCCCCCACTACCTTATTTGTAATTTTGTTCTTTGTCACTGAGAAACCCAGCTCTTAATGCCCACAATGTATTGACTTATTTGCAGGGTTCCTATGAATTAGAACGATTCAATGACACTTAAAAACAATAACAATATATATTAAAAGTACCTTCAGACTATAAGAAACAACTATCCTACATATTGTACAATACCTATGTAGAGTTTTTTTTGTTTGTTTGTTTCCAACCCTATGGGATATAATCAAACATTGTTTTCCCAAGTGATTTGCAATTGTTTATTGTGTTTTTTCCCTTTTTCTTTGACTGTTGTATGATTGTATTATTTATTTGAAATATATATAATAATAGGAGTCCTGGTGTGGTGTTATGGGTTAATGCTCAGGACCGCAAGGTTGGTTTGAACCACAAGGTTGCCAATTCAAGCTCATAAGCCACTCTTCAGAAACCATATACAGGGTCGGTATGCATCGGAACTGACTCAATGGCACTTAAAAACAACTACAAAATAATAACATGCTAATTTTCTTTGACACAGTTTGTATTCATCTGGGTTATACCTATATTTAATTTAATATTTTCTATGTAAGCATTAACACAAAGGGTTAATGTTATGTTAATGCTTGCATACACAGAGTCCTGCTGTGGCACAGCTGGATAGTGCACTGGACCACAAGTTCATTTTGACCTGAATGGTCAGCAGTTCAAGCTCACCAGCTGCTCCTTGGAAACCCTATTCAGGCTTGCTATGAGTCAGAACTTATTTGAGGGCACTTCACAACAAAAAATAGCTTTTGACACATACTCAAGAGTAAACAACACTGATTGAGCCACAGTGTAACCACATAACTTAAGACACACAGAATACAATTTTTTAGGATTAAAAAGGCAAGGAAGTTCAAGAACTCACCATTGAAGTTAACATTACGAATATACTTCAACAACTTCTTGCCCCCAGCTTGTTCCATCTCCGGACAGACACCCCGGTAGTCAGCACAGAGATCTTTGTTCATGTGATGAAGGGCGTGAGCCATAGCATAGACAGCATCTATGACGAACTGAACCTTCCCCTCCTGCTCATAGTTGGAGTCTTTTCCAATTCTCTCCTGCCCTGCACATTAAAACAACAAATACACAGGCAAGATTGGTACTGAATAGACTGTTGTCACGTGCATTGAATTTCAAATATCCTAAAGAAAACAGTGTTAATGCTTTTAGGATTACAGTAATTCAAATTCTGTAAAGGAAGGAGCTCTGGTAGTGGTAGCGCAGTGGTTACGAATTGGGCTTTGTGCTCCTGTAAAGATTTACAGCCTCGGAAACCCTGTTCAGGTTCGCTATGGGTCGGAACCAACTCAACGGCAATTAACAACAATAACATCTGAATTTTGGGTTCCTCTCTGAGACTGTCTTAATACTTGGTGGTACTTTACTTTGGAGCATATTATACTAACATTTTACATCTCTTAGACAGACTTTACAAACAGCACTGCAAGTGACATTTTTTGTAACAGCACACCATAATATTTGAAATATACTAGTCCTATAGAATCAAAGATCTCTAAGATTGGAAGCTGGGTTTCCCCATTCAAATCTTTAAAGCTCAGCTGCTCTAAAGAGGTGATGGGAAAGAGGCAAGTGATAAAACACAAACAAAATGCCACACTTGAACTCATTATTTTTACCTACAAACTCAATCCACTTCATGTGTGACCTCTCTCGATTGTTGCTATTACTGGCATGTCAGATGTTCAAGTTAAAAATCCTGGTGTTTTTCCTACCTTTCACTCCTTACTTTCACAAATGTACATCTGATGTGTGGCCAAGTTCTGGCAAGTCTACCTTTTAAACAGTAAAGTGTTTCAGCTCTTTGACCCATGCCCTTTGTATGCCCATGTTGTCTAAGTATGCCTGCACCACTCAACCCTTGGTGCTCATCATTTCAAACTGCAGAGATAATCAAATCAATCTTGTGCTCTAAAGCCTTCAATGGCTCTCCAGTACTACAACACAAAATCTAACCCCTTACTCTGACAACTGAGGTTATCCATTATTTTGCTAAACTCTGCCTTACAATAGTAGAAACTGAAATAAATTAATGCTGGGAGTTTTGGGTTGCCAGCTTTCCATTGATACTTAAAAAAAAAAAAATCTTTACATATGCAGGAAATATGCATCCTGATTTTACAGTCTGGAAAGTTGAGTCATATAGAGATTAAATCCTGTGCCCATGTCTTTTACAAGTGGAGCAAAGATGACAGTTCAGGTCAGTCAGACCCTGAAGTCTTTACTCTGGGTACTACTTTGCCCATGGAGCCCTGGTATGACACTGTAGGATAAGCACTGGACCACAACATCAGTTTGAACCACAGGTTTAGCAGTTCAAACTCACCAGCCACTCTTTGGAAACCCAATACAGGGTCGCTATGAGTAAAAGCCAACTCGATGGTACATAACAACAACAACCTTGCCCATGGAGTCCAGGTATAACATAAGATCTAGACTAATAACCAGAGGGTCAATGGTTCTACCCTACCAGCAGTTCCTCAGAAACCTTACACAGGGTCACTATGAGTCCAAACAGACTTAATGGCACTTAAGAACAACAGCCTTGCATGGGCTCTATCTTGCTGATATACATTGTTGTGTTCCTGGCAAGTATGATGATTTTTTTTCCTGTACACATCATATACGTTCTTGTGAAGCTACCTTTGATTATGTTCTGCATTGTCAGAAATATCCTTCCTCCTGATTTTATCCATCATACCTTGTTTAACTGCCATTGGCCCAACCCAAAAGCTATTTTACAGTTGTCTTAAAGTTGTCTTACAACGTGTAAGCCAACACTTACATATTGAATCACAATGAAGGCTTTTCAAAAGTCTTCAAAATACCAAAAAAGTCTTATCAAATTGTTATTATAATGTTAAGGGTTGTTGTTGTTGTTAGGTGCCATCGAGTTGGTACTGACCCATAGCGACCTAATGCACAGCAGAATGAAACACTGCCTGATCCTGGGCCAACCTCACTACTACTGCCACA